GAAGGGGGTGTCGCGGTCACTTTTACCCCCAATAGATCCTTCTCCTCCGGCTGGGAGGAGGTGGGGAGATTAACGCATACAGTACTTTAGGATAAAACAGTTTGCTATAATTTATGTGATTGCAGTTTGAAAGCTTAGTGTCATCACTAATGTATAATGGGTCTCTATATGCCCTGGTTTATTCATTGATCAGTTGTCTAAGTGTAAATGTAGCCCTGTCGAGCTGTCATGTACAGTATCAATTAATTTTAAAATAGAAATTATAATGTAAAATGTTATAAGACAATGGTTTAGTAGTGCTGTTAATGTGTGTGCTGTGTAAGTGTCTTGGCATGTCACCTAACCACCTGACTCCTGAACAAACTCTTCATCAACTTCTTCAAATCCTGCAATGTGCTTGGCAAGCTAAAACACACACACACACACACACACACACACACACACACACACACACACACACACACACACACACACACACACACACACGTGTGTCTGCTGTTCAACACCTCAGCTTACATGATCTACGTGTGTAAACATTAATCTGTATGTTCACTGTATGTTCCTTCACCTTTCTCTAATGAAGGCTTTTGTTAAACCACCAATGTATGTAATAAGTCATTTGTGTCCAATGTATAATATCAGCCTTCGGGCTGCAAACTTTTTCAATAAACCGTTTATTATTATTATTATTATTATTATTACTACTACTACACACACACACACACACACACGTGTCTGCTGTTCAACACCTCAGCTTACATGATCTACGTGTGTAAACATTAATCTGTATATTCACTGTATGTTCCTTTACCTTTCTCTAATGAAGGCTTTTGTTAAACCACCAATGTATGTAATAAGTCATTTGTGTCCAATGTATATTTTCGGCCTTCGGGCTGCAAACTTTTTCAATAAACCGTTTATTATTATTATTATTATTATTATTATTATTATTATTATTATTATTATTATTACTACTACACACACACACACACACACACACACACACCTAATCTGTAAAAGTTTTGTGTTCGACTGGGCTTATGCTGATATTGCAGGAGTCGTAGACCCTCAGCAATTTGGCAATATGAAAACTTCCTCCACTACTCACTGTCTTGTCAGCTTTCTCGATTACATATACCGACATCTCGAGAAACGAAAAACGTCTGTAGCTGTCGCCTTCATTGATTTCACTAAAGCATTCGACCTAGTCGACCACAATATAATCATCAACAAAGCTTTTGATCTCGGGCTTCGGAGAAGTCTTATACCATGGCTTACAGACTTCCTCAGTGACCGACGCCAAGCTGTACGCTTCCGAGGGGCTGTCTCCACCTTTCAGTCACTCACCTGTGGCGTCCCCCAAGGCACCAAGATGGGACCACTCTGCTTCCTTATGCTTATCAATGATGCCCTAGGAGAAACCCCCGCTCGCTGGAAATATGTCGACGACTCCACCATTGGGATCAGCGTCAACAATTCTGCTCGCGACTATACCGCCCTTCAGGATTTATTCAACAGTCTCCAAAACTGGGCCACCAACAACCACGTCACCATCAACCATACCAAGACCATGGTTATGCACATCAACCTCTCCTCCGACATTGTCCCACCCCCTTCCTTTAATTTAGGTCTGAACACACTCCAGGTTGTAGATTCCATGAAGCTCCTCGGCATCACCATAGCCAACAAACTAAATTGGAAACCACACGTCAGTGAAGTTGTCAAATCCTCCAGTTTCCGTCTTCACCTCCTCCGCTGACTCAAGTCCCTCGGAGTTCCTGCACCTGAGCTCCTCAGTGTTTACTCAACATTCATACTTCCCAAGCTCACCTATGCCTCCCCTACCTGGTCTTCCTCCCTAAATGCCACACAACGTAAACACCTAGAAAAAGTGCAAAAGAGGTCATGCAAGATTATTCTCTCCCCTTCCCACTCCACATATCAAGAAACGCTCAACACACTCACCCTTTCAACTCTTACTGACCATCACCACGACCTCATCTGCAAATTTGGTAAGAAGCTTCTGCACCATCCTCGACACCGGCTCCTACTACCACCTGAGATACCTAGCCCGAGAATTGCTGTACGACACCACAACTGCATCCAACCCATACGTGCACGAACTGATCGCGATAAGAACAGCCCAGTCCCAACCATTGTAAAAATTATCATTAACTTGTAATAAACCAGTGTATTCGCTCCCAGTAAATACTACTTCTTGCACTGTCACTATGTTGAAATGCCCTGTAGTTTGAGCTTTTCCCCATCTAGTTATTATATATCTTATTTATATCACTTATGTTATTTGTATATTATTTGTAATTCGAAACCCATTCCCAATTATGTAACTGTATATTTTCAGCCTTCTGGCTGCCAAGCTCTTTCAATGAACCGTTAATTATTATTATTATTTACACACACACACACACACACACATATATATATATATATATATATATATATATATATATATATATATATATATATATATATATATATATATATATATATATATATATATATATATATATATATATATATATATATATATATATTAAGACAACAAGCATCCAGTGAGGGTCTTGTTGTGTGACTGCATGGAGGCGAATTAGAAGATCAGTGTTTAGGAGCTTCTCGCTTGGCAAACACTGGTGTATGTTACCACTCCTTTCCTCTCCATCTCTCTAATTACCCACACCTTTCTGCTTTCTCACTCCATATTTTAAAATGTTATGTAATGTAATGTTGAAGGGATACAACTTTGCTCATTTATACTTATTCTTATTACAATCTCTTACGTACTTTAGGTTTTGTGTTTATTCAAGACATCTTCAGGTTATGAGACCACTAACCCCCACCCAAGAAAGGGTGACCTGACATTCCATCAGAAAGTCAGTAATATGAGACCACTAATCCCCCACCCTACCTCCACCTGACATTGAGTCAGGTCTGGTCACTCCCCAAAATACTAGAGCTTTCGTCTTTATTCAAGACAGTTCCAGTAAATGCTCTTGATTTTCACCTTCAGAAAATTTGTGCCCAAAGTCGGAATTTTTTTTTTTTATTCTAGCTTTGGGAATGCTTTTCCAAGCAAATTTCGATTACGGCTATTGGAGAGTTCAGGGTTTGAGGGATTCCGGCTAATGGAAATATATATCAAGCAGTAAAACCTCGTTAAGGCGTTTTTTGCTTAAGCTGGACAATATTATTTTCCTAAAAATAATGCAAAAAATCAAATATTAAAAAAGAAGAAGGAGAAGGGAGAAGAGAAGGCATTGGGGAGGAAGAGAAGTCACCCCATGGTGCTATTTCACCCATAAAATTTTAGTTCTCTTGGTGTAATTCAAGATTATTTTCTTTAAATCAACAGTGCATTGCATTATATATTGTCAATATGGAAAATAAATTTCAAAATGACCAATAATTTGCTTGTAAACACAGAAAAAAAGCCTTTAGTTGAAGAGAGTCTCAAGCAAGATGTTACCTCCACTGAAAAGACACAGAGACTGACGCCTGTATGGTGTGTTGAGAGGCTGGATGGTGCGCATAAAACTAGTTTCATTACCTTCAATTATATTCAATAATTGTTAAAATGACTAAAAAATTTAATATTAAAATTTTAAAATTATTGAATAGTATAAACTTCTTGATATTTGCTAAAATCGTAAGGAATTTAAGCCCTAGAACCGATTACTGTATTGGCGGACTAATAATACAGCTGGTGGACCGCCAAATGCAAGCGAAAACATGTTCAGGTCGGCTCGTAAGAAACTCGTTAATCGAGGGATTGCTCGTTAACCGAAGTTAAGAATCTTATGGAAGGTAACTCGTTAACCGAGGGACCACTGTAGGTTAAAATACATAATGAAAACAAAAGATTTTACCTAACCTTCCGATGTTCAAGAGAAGTTACTCGTTTTTTTTAATAGTTTTTGGTTAAAATACTGTTATATTACAATGGTATTCTATTCATACTGTGCTTGATATAATGCATTCACGGAAATGTAATATTTTTGCTGAAATGACGTACGTATTACAGTTGAAAGTGGGATAAAATCGTGATGAAAACAATGACTTTCGCTTTCTTTCGTTCAAAAGATGTTGCCGTAATTGCTTTTCGATTGGTTTTCAGTTAAAAAACTGTTGTATTACAATAATATTCTATCCTAATTGACTTGAATAAATACTACGATACCATATTTCTGAATGTTTTCATTAAAATCCATCCAAATCATTTTCCTTGTCATCGTCTGCAGCACCAAACAGCTTCTCCCAGTCCTCTCCTTGAACAGGGCTAGAGGGTACGTGTTTTTCGAATCGTTTTCAGTTAAGAAACTGTTACATCACATGTATATTTTACCTAAACTGCGCCTGAATGAATATATTCTGGGAAATAAATAGTAGTTTTGCTGAAACATGATGTATTTTAATGTAAAATAGGATAAAATACATGACGAAAACAAAAGATTTTACCTAACCTTCCGATGTTCAAGAGAAGTTACTCGTTTTTTTAATAGATTTTGGTTAAAATACTGTTATATTACAATGGTATTCTATTCATACTGTGCTTGATATAATGCATTCATGGAAATGTAATTTTTTTGCTGAAATTACGTATGTATTACAGTGGAAAGTGGGATAAAATCGTGACGAAAACAATCACTTTGAAATATAATGCAATATTAACCCCTAAATCGGTTAATTCGGACAATCGGCTAAAACGGACACCCTTCCCCCCCCTATTAGTCCGAATTAACGAGGGTCGACTGTATTTGTTTATTTCTGTTTTGGTTACCAGTATAATGATATGTGTCACTGGGAATTGCAAAGATAATACCTCTCCATGCCAGGTGCTCCCTACTTGGTTCACCCAAAAATACCAGGTATGCTGAACTGTGCTCTGTAGATGCATAATGGGTTGTGATGTGAACTATCTTAAACAAATTAGAATCATTAGGGCATTATTCTTCTTATCTGACATTTATGATTGTCTTTCCCAGCACCTGAAACCCTCAACTCACTCCCAGCTGATCCATTAACAGAGGTTCTGGAGGATACAACTTCAGGTCATGCAAATCACATTTATGATCTCAATTGCAAGATCTGCACAGGAAAACAAGACCCATCATATACGCGCCAAGATTCGGTGAGTCCTTAGTTCTCAGAACAGTCCTAGTTCTCAAAGTGCCTTTTCATTTCAGTAAATTACCCAAATTTTTCTTGACATTAGAATTTGCACAAATTTCAGTAGTACAGTATCTTGAAATCAAGGCTTGGTGATAATTGTGAGAATCATGACAATGTACTGTATTCCCTTTCACTTAGGTATTTAAAGATGATAAAGTATCATAATTACTAAGAAATGCATTTTGCAATCAGTAATATCAACCCCAACAACCATCCATAAATAGTGTGGGGTGCAGATAAGTTTGGGGGGCATTTTACAAGAAATTGCCGAATTACGTTGGGATGTGATCCGAAAAACTCGCAACATAAATAGGATTCAATTTTCCCATAGTCTTAGTGTTGTAATTTGATGATACATTACCAGGCCAAATTTTCAGACACCTTAAACGAACGTAAACCACACAATACGTGAATTAATGAAAAAAAATTAACAAAGCAATACAGAACACAGACACAAGGAACTCGCCAAAATAAAATCAAGGATGTATATGCCTTCACCAGTATAATTACAGGATTCCTTGCAGAACATTTCCCACTTTGATTGTCATGACCCTCATGTGCTTTGTGATTTTTATGATCCTGTGGTCCTCATCTACACACTGTGGTCCTCATCTACACACTGTGGTCCTCATCTACCCACTATGGCCCTCATCTACCCACTGTGGTCCTTATCTACCCACTGTGGTCCTTATCTGCCCACTGTGGTCCTCATCTACCCACTATGGTCCACATCTACACACTGTGGTCCTCATCTACACACTGTGGTCGTCATCTACCCACTATGGTCCACATCTACACACTGTGGTCCTCATCTACACACTGTGGTCCTCATCTACCCACTATGGTCCACATCTACACACTGTGGTCCTCATCTACCCACTGTGGTCCTCATCTACCCACTATGGTCCACATCTACACACTGTGGTCCTCATCTACACACTGTGGTCGTCATCTACCCACTATGGTCCACATCTACACACTGTGGTCCTCATCTACCCACTATGGTCCACATCTACACACTGTGGTCCTCATCTACACACTGTGGTCCTCATCTACCCACCATGGTCCACATCTACACACATCTACACTGTGGTCCCCATCTACACACTGTGGTCCCCATCTACCCACCATGGTCCACATCTACACATCCTGGTCCCCATCTACCCACCATGGTCCACATCTACACACTGTGGTCATCTCATCTCCATGGTCCACACACATGGTCCACATGGTCTACACACTGTGGTCCTCATCTACACACTGTGGTCCTCATCTACCCACTATGGTCCACATCTACACACTGTGGTCCTCATCTACACACTGTGGTCCTCATCTACCCACTATGGTCCACATCTACACACTGTGGTCGTCATCTACACACTGTGGTCGTCATCTAAACACTGTGGTCCTCATCTACACACTGTGGTCCTCATCTACCCACTATGGCCCTCATCTACCCACTGCGGTCCTCATCTACCCACTGTGGTCCTTATCTGCCCACTGTGGTCCTCATCTACCCACTATGGTCCACATCTACACACTGTGGTCCTCATCTACACACTGTGGTCCTCATCTACACACAGTGGTCCTCATCTACACACTGTGGTCCTCATCTACCCTGGTCCCATCTACACTGTGGTCTCAACTACAACTGTGGTCTCATCTGTGGTCCTCATCTACACACTGTGGTCCTCATCTTCACACTGTGGTCCTCATCTACCTGTGGTCCTTAGCCCACAGGTCTCATCTACCCACTGGTTTTCATCTACACACTGTTCCTCATCTCCAAACTGTGGTCTCATCTACCCTGTGGTCATCTACACACGGTCCTCATCTACACACTGGTCTCATCTACCCACTGTGGTCATCTACCCACTGTGGTCCTCCTTCCCACTGTGGTCTCATCTACCCACTGTGCCTCTTGCCCACTGTGGTCTCATCTACACACTGTGGTCTTCATCTCCAAACTGTGGTCTCATCTACACACTGTGGTCCTCATCTACACACTTTGGTCCTCATCTACACACTGTGGTCCTCATCTACACTGTGGTCTCATCTACCTGTGGTCTCATCTACCCACTGTGGTCTCATCTACCCTGTGGTCCTCATCTACCCACTGTGGTCTCATCTACACTGTGGTCCTTATCTGCCCCTGTGGTCTCATCTAACCACTAAGGTCTCATCACACTGTGGTCCTCATCTACACACTGTGGTCTCATCTACACACTGTCTCCTTCCACTGGTCCTCTTCACTGGTCTCCAACTACACACTGTGGTCTCATCACCCACTGTGCTCCTCCACCACCCGCTGGTCCTCATCTACCCACTGTTCCTCATCTCCACTGTGGTCCTTATCTCCCACTGTTGTCTCATCTACCCACTGTGGTCCTCATCTACACACTGTGGTCCTCATTCCAAGCGCACTCATCTACACATGGTCTTCATCACATGGTCCTCATCTTCCCACTGGTCCTATCTCCCCTGTTGTCTCATCTACCCACTTTGGTCCTACCCACTGTGGTCCTCATCTCCAAACTGTGGTCTCATCTACACACTGTGGCTCATCTGCACTGTGGTCCTCATCTACACACTGGTCCTCAACTACACACTGTGGTCCTCATCTACCCACTGGTCCCTCATCTACCCACTGGTCCTCATCTACCCTGCTTCCTCATCTACCCACTGTGGTCCTTATCTGCCCACTGTGGTCTCATCTACCCATATGCTCTCATTTACACACTGTGGTCCTCATCTCAAACTCCTTGGTCCCCATCTACACACTGTGGTCCTCTTCCACTGTGGTCCTCTCTCCAACTGTGGTCCCATCCACTTGGTCCTCATCTACACACTGTGGTCCTCATCACACACTGTGGTCTCATCTACAAACTGTGGTCTCATCTACAAACTTGGTCTCATCTACCCACTGTGGTCTCTCACCCCACTGTGGTCTCATCACCCATGGTCTTATCTGCCCACTGTGGCCTCATCTACCCATTATGCTCCCCATTTACACACTGTGGTCCTCTCCAAACTGTGGTCCTCATCTACCTTGGTCCTCATCTACACACTGTGGTCCTCCCTACAAACTGTGGTCCTCATCTACACTGTGGTCCTCATCTCACAAACTTTGGTCCTCATCACAAACTGTGGTCCTCATCTACAAATGTGTCCTCCCATCTACACACTGGGTCCTCATCTACAAACTTTGGTCTCATCTACAAACCAGGTCCTCATCCAACCTGTGGTCTCATCTACACACTGTGGTCTCATCCACACTGGGTCCTTCTCTACACACTGTGGTTCTCATCTACACACTTGGTTCTCATCTACACTGTGGTCCTCATCTACACACTGTGGTCCTCATCTACAAACTGTGGTCTCATCTACACACTGTGGTCTCATCTCACCTCTGTCCTTCTCCCCACACTGTGGTTTCTCATCTACTCACTGTGGTTCTCATCTACTCACTGTGGTTCTCATCTACACACTGTGGTCCTCATCTACACACTGTGGTCCTCATCTACACTGGGTCCTTCTCCACCCATGTGGTTCCATCCTCACTGTGGTTCTCATCTCTCACTGTGGTTCTCATCTACACACTGTGGTCCTCATCTACACTGTGGTCTCATCTACCACTGTGGTTCTCATCTACACACTGTGGTCCTCATCTACACACTGGGTCCTTCTCTACCCACTGTGGTCTCATCTACCCTGTGGTCCTCATCTACACTGTGGTCTCATCTACCCTGTGGTCCTCATCTACCCACTGTGGTTCTCATCTACCACTATGGTCTCATCTACAAACTGTGGTCCTCATCATACTGGGTCTCATTGGGTCTCATCTACCACTGTGGTCCATCTCCCTGTGGTCCTCATCTACCACTGTCGTCCTCATCTACCCACTGGTTTTCATCTCCCATTGTGGTCTCATCTACACCTGTGGTCCCTCATCTACAAACTGTATCCCCATCTAAACCAGGTCCCCATCTACCCACCAGGTCCTCATCTACCCACTCAGGTCTCATCTACCCACTGTGGTCCTTATCTGCCCCACTGTGGTCCCCCATCTACCCATTATGCTCCCCCATTTACACACTGTGGTCCCTTAATTCTAAACTGTGGTCCTCATCTACACACTGTGGTCCTCATCTACACACTGTGGTCCTCATCTACAAACTGTGGTCCTCATCTACACACTGTGGTCCTCATCTACAAACTTTGGTCCTCATCTACAAACTGTGGTCGTCATCTACAAACTGTGGTCCTCATCTACACACTGTGGTCCTCATCTACACACTGCGGTCCTTCTCTACACACTGTGGTTCTCATCTACTCACTGTGGTTCTCATCTACTCACTGTGGTTCTCATCTACACACTGTGGTCCTCATCTACACACTTTGGTCCTCATCTACACACTGCGGTCCTTCTCTACCCACTGTGGTTCTCATCTACTCACTGTGGTTCTTATCTACTCACTGTGGTTCTCATCTACACACTGTGGTCCTCATCTACACACTGTGGTCCTCATCTACCCACTATGGTCCACATCTACACACTGTGGTCCTCATCTACACACTGTGGTCCTCATCTACCCACTATGGTCCACATCTACACACTGTGGTCGTCATCTACACACTGTGGTCGTCATCTAAACACTGTGGTCCTCATCTACACACTGTGGTCCTCATCTACCCACTATGGCCCTCATCTACCCACTGCGGTCCTCATCTACCCACTGTGGTCCTTATCTGCCCACTGTGGTCCTCATCTACCCACTATGGTCCACATCTACACACTGTGGTCCTCATCTACACACTGTGGTCCTCATCTACACACAGTGGTCCTCATCTACACACTGTGGTCCTCATCTACAAACTTTGGTCCTCATCTACAAACTGTGGTCCTCATCTACAAACTGTGGTCCTCATCTACACACTGTGGTCCTCATCTACAAACTTTGGTCCTCATCTACAAACTGTGGTCCTCATCTACAAACTGTGGTCCTCATCTACACACTGTGGTCCTCATCTACACACTGCGGTCCTTCTCTACACACTGTGGTTCTCATCTACTCACTGTGGTTCTCATCTACACACTGTGGTCCTCATCTACACACTGTGGTCCTCATCTACAAACTGTGGTCCTCATCTACACACTGTGGTCCTCATCTACACACTGCGGTCCTTCTCACACACTGTGGTTCTCATCTACTCACTGTGGTTCTCATCTACTCACTGTGGTTCTCATCTACACACTGTGGTCCTCATCTACACACTTTGGTCCTCATCTACACACTGCGGTCCTTCTCTACCCACTGTGGTTCTCATCTACTCACTGTGGTTCTCATCTACTCACTGTGGTTCTCATCTACACACTGTGGTCCTCATCTACACACTGCGGTCCTCATCTACCCACTGTGGTTCTCATCTACACACTGTGGTCCTCATCTACACACTGTGGTCCTCCTCTACCCACTGTGGTCCTCATCTACCCACTGTGGTCCTCATCTACACACTGTGGTCCTCATCTACCCACTGTGGTTCTCATCTACCCACTATGGTCTCATCTACACACTGTGGTCCTCATCTACATACTGCGGTCCTCATTGCGGTCCTCATCTACCCACTGTGGTCATCATCTGCCCACTGTGGTCCTCATCTACCCACTGTCGTCCTCATCTACCCACTGAGGTTTTCATCTACCCATTGTGGTCCTCATCTACAAACTGTGGTCCTCATCTACACACTGTGGTCTTCATCTACAAACTGTGGTCTTCATCTACAAACTGTGGTCCTCATCTATCCACTGTGGTCTTCATCTACACACTGTGGTCCTCATGTATGCACTGTGGTCCTTGTTTACCCAATGTGGTCCTCATCTACACACTGTGGTCCTCATGTATGCACTTTGGTCCTCTTCTACACACTGTGGTCCTCATTTACCCACTGTGGTCCTCATCTACCCACTGTGGTCCTCATCTACACACTGTGGTCCTCATCTACACCCTGTGGTCCTCATCTACCCACTGTGGTCCTCATCTACCACTGTGGTCTCATCACCCACTGTGGTCTCATCTACACTCTGTGGTCCTCATCACGCCCACTGTGATCTCATCTGCACACTGGTCTCATCTACACACTGTGGTCCTCCAATTTTACCCACTGTGGTCCTCATCTACCCACTGTGGTCTCATCTGCACACTGGTCCTCATCTACCCTGTGGTCTCCATCTACACTGTGGTCCTCATCTACACACTGTGGTCTCATCTCTACACACTGTGGTCCTCATCTACACTGTGGTCCTCATTTACCCACTGTGGTCTGTCTACCCCACTGTGGTCTCATCTCTACCCCACTGTGGTCTCATCTACACACTGTGGTCCTCATCTACACCTGTGGTCCCTATCTACACTGTGGTCCTCATCTACACCTGTGGTCCCCATCACACACTGCTGGTCCCTATCTACACCTGTGGTCTCATCTACAACTTTGGTCTCATCTACACACTGCTTGGCCCTCATCTCACACTGGTCCTCATCTACACTGTGGTCTCATCTACACACTGCGGTCTCATCTCTACACTGTAGTCTCATCTACCCACTGTAGTTCTCTGTCTACCCTGTGGTTTCTCATCTACCCACTGTGGTCATCATCTGCCCACTGTGGTCTCATCTATCCACTGGCCAGTCTTCATCTACACACTGTGGTCTCATGTATGCACTTTGGTCCTCTTCTACACACCTGTGGTCCTCATCCACACTGTGGTCCTCAACTACACACTGTGGTCCTCATGTATACACTTTGGTCCTCTTCTACACACTGTGGTCCTCATCTACCCACTGTGGTCCTCATCTACCCACTGTGGTCCTCATCTACACACTGTGGTCCTCATCCACCCACTGTGATCCTCATTTACACACTGGTCCTCAACTACACTGGTCCTCAGCTACACACTGTGGTCCTCATCTACACACTGTGGTCCTCATCTACACACTGTGGTTACTCATCTACACACTGTGGTTTTCATCTACACACTGTGGTTCTCATCTACACACTGTGGTTCTCATCTACACACTGCTGGTCCTCATCTACACACTGTGGTCCTCATCTACTTTGTGGTCCTCATCTGCACACTGTGGTCCTGATCTACACTGGTCCTGATCTACCCATTGTGGTTCTGATCTACACACTGTGGTCCTCATTTACACACTGTGGTCCGCATCTACCACTGCAGTTCAGTGTCGATAGTATGTAACTTTAGTACTGGCAATACTGTATGGTAGTCAAAAGGCATTACGTTAGAATTATAGGATGAGTAGTTAGCTCGATGGTCCATCAGTGATCTGGTAAACCTCTACCTTAATCTCTTGTGGTTAGTATGTTCTCATCAGGTATGTTTGAGAGGAGATGCAAACTCGTTGATAGAAAGAGAGAGTTCTATTTGGTAACTTCAAACAGGAGGCTATGAGAAGGCGTGATACCGAGTTGGCTGGTCTTCAGCGTGGGCTCTTGTGCAATATAAATACAGTTAGCCGTACGGCGTGATGTTGGCCATCTTGTCGTCATATAGCAAGAATAACAACCAACATAAAATACATAACAGAATGTTTCAATCAACAAAACTGTTGAAATGCCTTGCACCCATCCATATCGGAAGTCATGCAACATGTTTATACATATAGATATATAAACATTACTAATAATGCTAATTCTGTACAGTAACCCTTGTTACTTGCGGAGGTTATGTTCCAGGGAAATGGCGTGGATAGGCAAAACCGCGAATAGCAACTTAGACAACGTTAGTGCAATACTGTTCACCTATACCAAACAACCAACCAGCCGTGGCTGCATTCATCCTCTCTTTTAACTTATCTAATAATTCAACTTTCTTTGTCAGGGTCATCACTGACTTCTGCCTTTTACATTTCATTCCACTCGCATCACTAGCACTGACACTAGGCAGTATTTTAGGGGTCATTTCACATAGAAACACTGAAGTTTTGAGAGTACAGCACGAGATACTGCATGGGGTGACCAACATAGCCACTATCTGCTTTCTCTGAATCGTCAAAATAGTAAATCACAAACCTGCAAATGGCCAGGGTCTACTGTACTGTATATTGGTCATCATCTTCCCACTGTGCTGTGATTACATGTTAAATGTGATTTTTTTAGGGTGCAGCTGTATTGCTGGGTAGGTGGAGAGACAAAGGAATATGCATTAAAGTACTTTTTAACATTTCCATAATTCTGTACTCTATATGTTGAGCATTACTATATTTTTTTTTTTTGGGGGGGGGGGAAAGGGTGGTTAAATTTTTCTAAACTATAAGTTATAAGCTTTTCACATGTAAAATTTGTATTTAATTGTATTTTCTTCTCCAGAAATCTTACGACGAAAAATCTCAAGAGAAGCCTAGAAGGGATAAAAAAGAAGATAAACATAAAGAACCACTAAAAGTGAAAGATAGAAAAGAAAGAAAAAGTTCATCAGATAAGGATAAAAGGGAAAGGAGAGAGTCATCAGACAAGGAGAGACATAAGCACAGAAGTAAAGATACTGAAAAGGACAAAAAATCAAGAGAAGAACGGAGCAAAGATAAAGACAAAGACAGAGATTATAGAGATAAAGATAAAATCAAAAGTAAAGATACAAATAAAGATGAACACATAAGTGACAGAGATAAGGATAAAAGCAGAGTGAAGCACAGGAACAGTAAAGATGGTGAAAGAGAGAGGCATAAAAGTATTAGCAGCAACAGTAATGATAAAGAGAAGAAAGATAAGGAAAGAAGAGATTCCAGAGATAAACGAGATGATCAAGACAGAAAACACAAAGATAAACATAAAGACAGGAGAGATTCAAAAGGTGATAAAGACAGAAAAAGAAGAGATAGTGAAAAAAGTGAAAGAAAACGAAAACACAGTGAATCTCGTAATGATGATAGGAAGAGAAGAGAAAGTGATAAAGACATTTCAAAGAGAACAGACAAAGATGATGATGAGAAACAAAAGGTAGAAGTTAGTACAAGTGAAGATGTGGTATTTGACTCTTACCAAATGGGCAAACACTTCTCCTCACACACGGACTGTAACACCAAAGATGCTGAGCCAACATCTACTGTTGTTGGGTAAGTCTTTATCTCTCTATTCATATTATGTCCTTGTCATCCGTGTAGGTTTAGACGCTAACCAAACTGCACGGTTAACTTTAAACCCATTTATCCACAGCTTTTCCGGTTACTGAGAAACGTTTCCGAGTGTTTAAACTAGACCTCTTGCTCAGACGCACACTAGCCAACTTCCCCAGAACGTTTCTGGGTGTTGGAGATGTTTTCCTTGACTCGAAACTACCAGAGTCCATAGATTCAGTTCTAATTAAATTAGAAACATCATTTCTTTTCTATAATAATCCAGAATACTTTATCTAAAAGTTTGGTTAAATAAATATACAGGTAGTCCCCGACTTACGATGAGGTTAGTGACTCAAATCCAGGTCGTAAGTCGGAATGGTCGTAAGTCCGCCATAGATTAAAAAAAAAAAAAAAAAGAATCTACAATGGATACAGTACAGTAAAAGTAATAAATAATGAGGAATGGATACAGTGTGACTGAGCACTTACCTTAAATGTAGTCAGCTGAATGCACACAGGGCCCCCATAATTTTCTATTTACAGGATACATGGAGACTATATTAATTGGAAGAAGCAGAAGAGGAGACAGGGCTGGGTGGGTCATCAATGTCGCTTCCTTCAGACAGGTTTATGTACTGTGGTAACTTGCTGGTTGAAGGTATTGGATCATCTTGAGGGAGTGAAGAGGCAGCACTGGTGGGGCGTGAGGAGACAGCACTGGGGGACTTCTTGAAATAGATGTCCAATTTAGACTGCACAGTTTGCTTTTTCTTTTCATTATAAATTTCTCTGTAGCAAGCAAGTGCATCTTGGATCGTTCTGTCAACTTTGGCATAACGCTCATAATTTTGATCCATGCCATCAAACATTTGCATTGCTTTATTAATTGTAGCAAATGCCTCTGCCATATGTTTCACTGAAAACTTTTTGGGGGGTGCAGGTTCTTCTACATTTTGTCTCTCTTCTTCCTCTGCAATTTTCTGTGCATCTAGTTCAATAAGATCCTCATTACTGAGCTCTTCTGCTACACTTTCAACCAACTGTACAACATCTTCATTATCAATTTCTAACTGAAGCTGTTTACCTAACTCCACTATCTTGTTACTAATATCCAAAATAACTTCATTTTCATTAAATCCTTTGAAACTGTGCACATATCTTTTCAGGATTTTCTTCCATATTCCATTCATGCAATGTTTTGTAACCTGATCCCATGCTGCACTAATGTTCTTTATACATGACAAAATGTTGTACTCCTTCCAAAACTCTCTGAGCGTTTTCTCACCTTCAGTAGCAGCAACAGCCTGAGCGAAGGTCGCGCGTAAATAATACTCTTTAAAGGCAGCAATAGCACCTTGATCCATGTGTTGGATGATAGAAGTAGTGTTAGATGGAATGTACACTACCTTAACATCAGGGTGCATGTCGTCCAGGTGTAGTGGGTGTCCCGGAGCATTATCCAAAATCAGTAAAATCTTGAATGGAATCTGTTGTTGCAGACAATACTCCTTGGCTCGTGGAATGAAACAAGTCATGAACCAATCCTCAAACAGTACTAGGGTCATCCAGGCTCTCTTATTACTGCGATAAAACACTGGCAGTGTGTGCTTGCTGACATGTTTAAAAGCCCTGGGGTTCTCTGAATGATAGATCATGAAGGGCTTTAGCTTGAAACCAGCAACATTCCCCCCCCCAACAGAAGGGTAATTCTGTCCTTAAATGCCTTGAATCCGGGCATTGTTTTCGCCTCTTTGTGGATGTATGTCCGCTCAGGCATGCGCTTCCACAATAATCCAGTCTCATCCACATTGAATATTTGCTCAGGCAAATAATTCCCTTCCACAATCACATCGTCTAACTCTCCTTAAAAGCTTCGGTAGCACCAACTTCGGTAGCACCAACATCGGCACTAGCTGCCTCTCCACTCACCTTAACATTGTGTAGACTGTAGCGCTTTTTAAATCTATCAAACCACCCATATCTTCCTGTAAAGGTTTGATCACATTCATCTCCTGCCTGCTCCTTCAGGCTTTGGAACAGGCTTCTTGCTTTAGCCTGTATGGTTAGAAGGCTTAAGGGTACACGCTTCTGTATCTGGTTTTCTATCCATATCACCAATAATTTTTCCATGTCATGAATAGGACCTTGTCTTCTCTTTGATATTATAGTTCCCTTTATAGGTGTTGTTCCTTTCACTACTTCATGAATACGTTCCTTGTCCTTCAGAATAGTGGATATAGTCGAGTGTGAGAAACCTAGGTCGCTTGAGATTGTTGCTACTGTTTTTCCATTCTCATGCTGTGTTATTATCTTCATTTTCAACTCAAAAGTAATTGCCTGTCTCTTTTTCTTTGGAACACCTTCAGCACTCTCACTTTTATGCTTTCCAGTCATTATAAAGTCAATTCAATACGATAATAACGAAAGTTCACAGCGCGATCAGTATAGGATACGATAGCCAAACACAAACAAAGCGCTCCACTGAGTGAGCGTACCCATGAGGCGACCCGAGACGCGCCACCCACTTGCCCGGACGGAAACGTTTCGGTATAGAAAATGCGCGCATCATTTGAAAATATTTTTGGTCACAACTGCCACGGTCGTATGTCCCGACGGACGTACAGTCAAAGCAGGTCGTAAGTACCAATGGACGTAGTCCATGTGGTCGTAAGTCGGGGTTTAGCTGTATATATGCAAAATGAACAATACAATTCATTAATACTAAGTAGATTATTAAAACACAGGAGAATAGATGGCATTGTATTCTTGAGTAACGATGGTTCTACATAAAAAACTACAGAAATAAGACCCTGGTTGTAGCTGAAGTTAACTTGATGTAAAAAATTAATACCTGTATGCATGTTTTAAGTAATGTTATTTAATGTTAATAAATGGAGCAATAGAAGTAGCTAACCACTAATGGTAAAGAAATAAAGCGAGACATTAAGAACACCAATGTATGTAATTGCGTACATGTGAAAACATATCGTCATTTCTCTACATAAGAATATGAAAGCAACACTTATTTACTGTTCAAATATGTTTTAAATAATACTTACTAATGTTAAACAAAAATTCTACTCACCAATGGTGGTATAGTCTAAAGCATTAGGATAGCCAATGATGTTTGAGTTTTTACTCAGATGACGAAGTCATCAGGTTAACTCTGGCTGAACCTGTAGTTTTCCATAAAGCTGTAGCTAAAACTTACTGAACCTGAAGTTGTTGATGAAGCTGCTTATGATGCTGAATTTGATGGTGTATCTTAAGTTGGTGGTTTAGGCCTTCGAATAATAAAGCTGTCGAAAGAACCTTTCACAGCTGCTTTCTCTTCTTATTATAGTATTGTACATCTCTATGTAGAGGTCATTTGTGTTTTTCATGTCCCCTTTAATTTTAATATTTTGTCCTGTTAATTGGTCCACTTCAGAAAATATGTTCATTGCTTGCTCCATATAATATTCACAGACCTCTCTCAGCTTTTTCATATCGTTTTAACACATCTAGGCCAGTCGGCCTCCTGCAGTATCCCACTTTCTTATGTACACTTTCTTTTAGCCTTTGAACCAGCACTACCATCACTTGCACTCTTGCTCATGTTGAATAGGGATGCAAAAATTCCATAAGAAACCTGAGAAAGTTTTTCTCCTTTTCCTGTTCAGGTGCATGAAAACAAAGGGCCCGCCAGCTACAACTGTTTATACTAGTGATGCTGGCGTCACCACTAACAAGCCCTGCAGCCTCCTTTGCACAAGGCGTTTTTTTTTTATAATACATATCGTTATTTAATTATTATTTATATGATATTTTTTGTTCTATTTTCATCATAAATACAAAGAAAATAATGGCATAAATTGAATTGGGTCCTAAATTAACCAAGGTCTTAATTGTGAATCGCCGTTAGTAGAACCATCGTTATCAAAGGCTTTCCTGTACATTTTCAGTTGCCCGCCAGCGTTACGTTTACTATTCGTTAGGTGACTGTAAAGTAGCTGCTTTGGCAGTCTACTGTCATCCATGCGGGTAACATGGCCAGTCCAGCGTATTTGTTCATAGATAATTGTAGCCTCGATGCTCCTACAGTTGGTGTCAGCAAGAATACTGGCATTTATTCTCTTGTCTTCCCAGCGAACTCGGAGGATGGAACATAGACTACAGTACATTTGTGAAAGTTTGCAAGTGCCTTAATGTGCTTCCTGTATGTGACCCATGTGGGAGGGGGGGACCACTACTCAATAAACGTGTAACTTTGTAGATAATTTCAGCACCCTACAGCTGAAGACACGGTTTTGGAATCTGCCAAAGGCTTGAAATGCACATCTGTTCCGATGTTGAATCTCTTCATCGATGTCCGCTGTGGTGGACAGGTGGGAGTCGGAATACCGAAAGTGGGTAACTTTAGTGAGGGTAGTCCCGTTAAGCAGAGATGGATGGTGGAGGTGTGGCTGAACCAGGGGCAGGCTGAAAGAGAATCTGAGTCTAACATAGATTCACCTCAAGACTGAAGTGTGCATACGCATCTGTAAAGGTGTTCAGGATCTCCTGTGGGTCACGTTCAGTGTGAGCGACAAGGGTGAGGTCGTCTGCATACTGAAGGTCAGTAATGGAAGCTGCCGACACCTTTGTTCTTGCGTGGAGTCGTCTTTTGTGTTTCACATGCTTTATTTTTATACCAGTCATTCTTTAGATTGTGAAGTTCCCGCTGGTGTAAACTTTCGGTCTGGCCGAGGGTCTCAGGTTTTTGTCATAACAGTATTAAGAGTATCCCATTCGGCATTAGAATTTGGGTTGTTTGTTGGGTTGCTTATCAGCCCATGTTCAAGCTGCTCTCTGAAGGCTGGTGCTACAGCTGGATCCTCCAGACGCTTAGTGTTAATACCCCTTCTGGAGGATTGTTGCTTTCCCCGTTTTGGGGCGACTTGAAGTGAGACCTTGCATCTGACAAGTCGATAATCAGTGTCACAGTCTGAGCCACTCAAGGCATGGGTGATAAGGATATCTCTGCGATCTCTTTCTCTGA